AATTGTTTTTAGCTAGGTATGGTGGAGCATACCTGTAATCCCAGCACTCAGGGGACTGAGGCAGGAGGATCAATGTGAATTTGAGACCAACCTGGGCTACATAACAACATTCGAGGGACCCTGTCTCAAAAAAAAAAAAAAAAGAATTGTTTCCAGTGGGCAGGGTAGTATATGCCTGTAATTCCAGCAGTTTAGAAGGCCTGGGCAATATAGCAACTTACTGTGTGTTAAAATAAAAAACAAAGGATAGAAGGTGGGGGAGGGAGGGGAAAGTAAGGGGGAATATGAAGATGTATTGTGTACATGTGCCAACTCCCATGATGAGTGGAATCATATACTGTTTTTTGTTTGTTTGTTTGGTTGGTTGTGTGTGTTTTTTTTTTTTTTTTTTTTTTTTTTGGCAGAACTGGGATTGAACTCAGACCCTTGCGCTTGCCAGGGAAGCGCTTATTCCACTGAGCCATCTCCCCGGCCCCCATTATATACTGTAAACAGGTACACACTAATAAAACTAAAGGACCAGAGATGTAGCTCAGTGCAAAGGCCCTGTGTTCAATCTCTAGTATCAAAAAATTAAAAACGGGCTGGTGAGATGGCTCAGTGGTCTAAAGCATCTGCCTAGAACAAGCTAAGCAAAGCACAGGGACTGCGGTTCAATCCCCCAGCACCACATGCCAGCCAGACCCGCCCCCTGGTGGGCTGAGCTGGCCACACACACACACACACACACACACACACATAAATAAATTTCAAAAAATTCTTGTTTATTTAAAAAAAAACAAACAAAAACAAATGTTTCCAAAAATCTAATGGAATTATTAACAGGAATCTGGGGCCAAACAAACCTGAGATCAAATCCCAGCTCTGACATTTACACAGCTATATATTCTTAGGGACAGCATCTCCCCTCCTTAAGCCTCATTTTTCTATTTATGTAATGGAGATCATAATGATACCCTCACATAGGGTTAAAAATAATATATAATGCAAGTTGAGTCTAACCCTCACATAGGGTTAAAAATAATATATAATGCAAGTTGAGCCCCCCAGAAGTCCACACCACACCTCCATTTTACAGATACTCAACAAATTAATTAACAAAAATTTATTGAACCTTGTGTATAGGTTCAATACACAAGGTTCAGTAAATTTTTGAACTTTGTGTATATATGCTGCTCTGGGCTCTGGGGAAGAGCAGAAGGCTTTGTAGGCAAGAGGTATGTTGAGGCAGAGGTGACTACACCCAGGAAATCCAGGCACCAGATTTTCTTGTGAACAGTAAGCTACTCCTCATCCATATAACTACAAATATGATAACACTATCACAATGATGTTCTGACCTGGGCAGCTGTGCCAGAGCCCAGATAGCTTGGCCACCAGCCTATCCCTGTCCTCCAGCTCTGGGATAAAACACGCAAAGCCCTTAAGCCCCTGGCCAGAGAGCAGATTCTTTCCCCCCTCAACTGCCCTCCCTACCCAACCACTCCATGGAAGAGTAAGGACTTAGGGAACAAAAAATCAGGGGAAAAGTAGGTCACAGTAGGAGGATAGTAATCCCCCAATGGCTGGCCGAAGCAGCTGGGCCCCTGCAGCAGGCAGGCTGCTTCTGCCTTCCACCAAGGCTGGCTCTGGAAGACTTTGGGGACTCTGAATTCCCACAGCTTACCTCCTAGCAGTATGCCCATGCTGAGGGGACTGCCCCAACGTGGTGTATCTATTCTGGAGTCATTGCCAGTCCAAGTTGATAACTATAACAGTTCTTCTGCTGGATTTAGAGATTCAATCTTTCATCCTACATATTCCACAAGTATACCCTTTATACCCAGCCCTAGTTTGCTGTAGACACGAAGAGGACACTTGACCCTTGAGGAGTTCACAGTGAGGAATTCTGACCTGAACCTAGACAATAATAAGCCAGTAGTATCAGTGCTGGGGTAGAAGTTTCCCAAGGACTGCACAGACTTAAAGGTGGCTTTATTTCAGTTTACAGTCTGGGTTCTGGATTATTTCTTGGAGGTAATACTGAATAAGGAAGAGTTCACCAGGAGGAAATATGGAAGAATATTCTGAATTAAAAAGGATAGATGTAAAAAAAAAATCCTCAAATAAAGGGGTTGGGGAGCTAGCTCAGTGGAATAAATGCTTGCCTGGCAAGCTCAAGGTACTGAGTTCAATCCCTGGTATTACAAAAAAAAAAAAAAAAAAAAAAAAAACTCAAAAAAGGATTGATGTTCAAAGACCCAAAGCAGTGAAATCCCTATTTTTCCTTCTGGATAATTCCAGTGGTCAAGGAGAGGGCAGTCTGGGGAGGGTTTTTCTCTTGAAGTTTCTCCTTTAGGTGATACGAGAAGATGGGCACTGACTGGTTGACAGAAATGGAGATAAAAGTCCAGGTGAATGAAGCATAAGAGCAAAAGCAAAATCATAGCAGAGGGAAGGAGTTAGTTGAAGCAGCAAGCTAGTCACCACAATGGGAGGATGTGTAGGAACTGTGGATAACAGAATTCCTACATGCCTGTGTGGAAAGCTCTGGAGACACCTGCCACTCTGGGGCCTAAGCAAGCATTTCATCAGGCCTGAGTATCCTGGGAAGTGATGGCCTCCCACCATGGACTCCAATGTAAACCTGGCTTGCTGATCTCTGGAATCCCATGGCTCCCCCCACCATTGCTTTTGGTTTCCTAAAGTCCCCTCTACTTCATCCCACCTTTTCTGCATCACTTGGGTAGCATCCTTATCTCCTATTACCCACTAAGTGAGCACCGCTTTGCCTGTCTGAAGCCTCCTCCCTTGTCCCAAAGGACTGGGTATGTAGCTCTTTTTGCTGCTACATAGAGGAGCTGTAGGAGAAGACAGAGCGGGCTTATGTAGCACCTTTCAGACAAGGAAAGGAGTTTATAGTAACATGCAGTTTTTCAATTTAGAAAATAGAGATTAAAGTAGAAGGAGTGATAATAGAAAATGGTAAGGAGACTGAGGTAGTGGCCACACAAATCATGATGTGGACTAGGGTCACCATTTCCTGTGAGGCCTTCTCCGGCCCCGGCTTCTACCTATGCTGATTTTTGCCTTGCTTTTCCTCTAGAATGAAATATACCACATGCTCTTTCCAAAGTTTCCCGAAAGTGTTGTTCGTTTTTGTTTTTTGTTTTTGAACTGGGGAGATGGCTCAGTGGAATAAGCGCTTCCCTGGCAAGCGCAAGGACCTGAGTTCAATCCCTGGTTCCAAAAAAAAATGTTTTTGAGACAGGATCTGCTATGTAGTTGAGCTCACACACAATCATCCTCCTGCCTCAGCCTCCTGAGTGCTGGGATTATAGGAGTGTGCCACCACGCCTGGCCTCAAAAATGCTTTTTGTTTGTTTGAGATAATCTCGCTGTGCCATTCAGGCTGGTTTTGAACTCACTGTGTAACTCAGGCTGATTTTTTTTTTTTTTTTTTTTTTTTTTATGTATTTAAGTACAGAGTCTACATGGTTTCACTACCCATATCGGGCTAGTAGTCATCCTGTTTTTAGCTTCCCAAGCGCTGGGATTACAGGCACATGCCACCACAACCAGTCTCAATTGCCATCTCAGTGCTGACAGGCACACCAGGGATTGAACCTAGTAGGCGCTTTAATCCACTGAGCTATCTGTCTAGTCCTTAGTCTGATCTTGAATTCTTGATCCTTTTGCCTTAGCCTCCTGAGGGCTGGGATTACATGTGTGTGCCACCATTCCTGGCTCTCACACCCCCAAAAAAAAATCTTACGAGATTGTTTTAACTCCATACTGCACACTTTGCAAAGAATAAGTTTGCAGAGAGCAGGGGCCAGAGGACTTTTCATTGTGACCCTGGTTTCTAAGCTTCAAATCCTGTTAGGGCTTGATTTGCAGACTCTGACAGAGGTTGCACCTTTTTCAACAGCCCCTCTGGCCAAGAGGAGGAAGGGACTGAGCATAGCACCTGAGTTTGTCTTCAAGGCTGAGGTGATAGTTCAGCAGAGGGAAGAGGAACTGAGATGTCAGGAGCCTGGAGACAAAAAGGAGGCTGTGGAGAGGTCCTACATGAAGGGCAGGCTACCACCTCTCCAGGGACCATGATAGGAGGGGGTAGGTAGTGCTAAGAGCTGGGCCTGACAATCCCCACAATCTGATCTCCCCCACCCCAGCCAGCCCAGGAAGGCAGACAATAGCTATGCATTCCGGCAGATTTTGGATCTCCACCAGAACTCTTGAGACCTGCGAGTAATGGAAAGTTCTGTGCTGCAGTAGGGAAAATGAATGTTTGTGAGCAGGAAGACTTGAGTCCCCAGTGGTGGCTCTAGGCTCCGCCCATCCCACGCTGAGGATCAGCTTCTAGGGGCCTCTGCCCCAGCCAAGGGGCCACAGCTGGGAGAAAGCAAGGAGCTTAATGCAAATATAAATACCTTTAATGAAAGCTTTGTACACTCTGCAGAGCCCGGGCTGGAGGTATGGTTGCTGTCATTAGCCCCTTTCCACTAGGCCAGGGGCCCCAGGAGGCAAGCTAGTGCCAAAGCAGCGGCCAACAGGGAAGGTGTGGGGGCTGGGGCAGGTGCAGGCCCTGTCACCCGCAACGTCTCCTGGTTGGTCTCTGGGCTCCCACCACGCTCCCACACGCGCACGGGGGCACCACACAAGGTGTGCAAGTTATCTGGATTTGGGGCACGGCGAGCTTCTTGCTGTAGTGACTCCCACACGGCAGCTGCCTCCTCAGGGCAGCCAGACAGGACCAGGGAGGCACAGGCATGGAAGTCATTCCAGGACCTGTTAAGCAATGTGATTAGGGGAGTTGGGGTAGGGTGGGGGCTCAGGTTTGGGGGTGGGAAGAGGTTCATGCCCCAGGATAGTGCAGATTGAGCTGTGCCTCCCACCTTCCCGTACCTGCAGATAGTCTCCAGCTCGCCTCCGCGGCCCATGCCGTCCCCCAGGCGGATGAGACATTCCGCAAAGCCCTGGTATATGGTATCACAACGATTTGGACCCTCTGTGGCTGCTGCTAGGGGAGATACAAGGACTGGGGGAGGGGGGGTGATAGGATGAGCCAGCCTGCCCCCAACCCCCAGGGGCTTGTTTACCTGGGAGTGCTCTAGAGAGGTGACTCAGCGAAGAAAGGGCACCCTAGGGAACTGAGCAGTGTGTCTTGGGATCCACTGCCTTGTTCCTTTCAAAGCAGAACCCTTGGGATGCAAGGTCAGAGGAACAGTGGTCTCAGGAATTGAGGAGGTTTCTCCTCTAGGCTTCTGGAGCTCTAGGTCAGATGAGGATGGTCCATAGCAAGGAGCTAGGATATTGTGGAGGGGTTAAGGGCTGGAAGTATGAGACCACAGACAGATGGGAATCTCTCAGTAGCCTCCATGAGCTTTGCTTGAGCTTCTGCCTCCTCCTTAAAGATAGTTTATATCTTGGATGAGGTTGAACAGGATAGAAAGAGGTCAAGATCTAGGCCAGACCCTCACAGGGAACTTCAGAGATCCCATGGCCAGTCCAGGAATTCTTTCAGTGGCCATGGGCTCCCTTTAAAAGAAGGGGAGGGGGCAAGGAGATGGCTCAGTGGAATAAGTGCTTCCCTGGCAAGCGCAAGGGGCTGAGTTCAATCCCCCATTCAAAAAAAAGAAAAAAGAAAAACAAAAAAACCCAACAAACAGATGGGCTGTAGAATCTTAGGGTTCTTCCTCAACCAAGGCTAAGCTCATGTTTTTATTTTTTTTATTGGAAATTGAACTCACAACCTCACGCTTGCCAGGCAGGTACTGTGCTGCTGAGCTATCTCCCTGGCCCAAATGCCTCACTTTTAATTCTGAAGCCACTGACACATTTCTAGAACCCTCTTAACTCCTTTACCTTGGCTCCCAGCTCCCATACACACTCAATACCCAGCCTGGTAGGGGACTTTTAAGAAGGGTGCAGCCTAAACCAAGATCAAGACCCCCACACTCACCTACAGGCACCAACAGCAACAGCTTCAGGGCATGGGGTGGCTGCCTCCAGCAGCAGCAGCAGCAACCTGGGCAGCCACGGCAGCCGAGCATTGTCCCTGGCTAGGAGCCTAGTGAAGGAGCTACAAGCCGCTGGAGCCGCCTGTCGGCCCAGCCCCCAGAGGGAGGGACCATGATTGGATGGGAGGCTGGGGCGGGGCCTGAAGCCCGCTCACAGCTCCACCTCCAGCACCTAGACTGGCAGAGAATCGGGGACCCCCATAGAGCAGAAAAGGCCAGGAGCGCACAGGGTGGTAAGAGCGCACAGGGTGATGAGAACGCACTGGGTGATGAGAGCTCACAGGGTGATGAGCAGCCCTAAGTCCCTTACCCCAAAGTTTGAGAGGGGTATCTTGGAAAAAAACAGAACAGATGAGTGGGCAATTATGCTCCGAAGGTGGGCATACTTACACTGACCTCCTCCCCACTGGGAGTAGGGCAATTTCAGTTACATCAAAGACACACCAAACTCATACACATACTCCATTTTATTCAAAAAACATGTAATTGAATTCTCAATGTTTTTCAAAAACAAAAAAATCCAAATCGGAGGTAAAAAGGAACACAGAAAACTCAAGTGGTGTTACAATCTCGGGGTCATGCTCCAGGCACGGCAGAACCCAAGAAGGCACAGTACCTGTCGTGGGCCCAGCCTAACCCTGGTGGCTACCACAATCCATAGACCACAGCCACTGCATCCTGTCCCCCACCCCTAAACACCTTAGGTGGAGGCCTGAGCAGGTAAATAGCAGACACAACCCCACCTTGGCCTAGGCCTGTCTGCTGGCCTTTAGCGTCACCCCACCCCTGCACAAGGCAGGCTTAGCTGCTAAGAGAGGCTGGGGGTCACAAGGCCATGTAGCATCAAGCTGAGACGTCGGGCTGCTTTCCCAAGCGAGTTGTGTGGCTCAGCCTGCAGGAACTGGAAGAGTTTCTGTCGAACTTGGGCCATGACTGAGCTCATATGGTCGCGAGTGATGGGGTCGCTGTGGTCCAGGTGCATCACAGCCTCTTCCAGGTAGCTGAGGGTAGGTTAAAAAGGACAGGCTACAGATGGAAATGCCTCCTGGTGGCACTGCTGCAAAAAGGGATTGGTGGCAAGGGAAGCCTCTAAACCTCAGATGGATAGAAGCGGAAAAAATTAAGAAGGGGTGTCAGGCAGGAGTATTACTGCTTTGAACTGCTCCCTCCCTACTGTGCTCTACAGCTCATCTGCTTATGCCTGACTACCCTCACTTACCTGAGCTTCAGGTCAGTTCTAGTGCCAAGGTCAGATGCCAACTGCTGGATGAGGGAAAGGAGCACAGGCTGGGAGAGTGGGCAGGGTGGCTGCCCAAAAACCTGGGCTGGGTCCACAGTTTCACACACATACAGCACCAGGTTCAGGTCAGCAGCAGTCAGTGCCTGAGGGCAAAACAGGGCAGCAGCATTTGTAACTATTATCAGGAAGGAATGCCTGTTTGGTATGTGGTTTCGAGGAGGAAAACCACAGAGTGGGCTACTGAGAGCTCCAAAGGGGATGCTCAAGACCTGGTGAGAGTACTATTGGGTTATATGGTACCCTAGAAAGTCAAAAGGTCAGAAAACACTTCCTGAGGACGGTGATCATTGGATAAAATGAGTTGAAGTGGTCTGTAACAAATGAACAACACAGACAATACCCTGGAAACGAAAGAGAATCAAAAACAGTTTTCTAGTCAACCCATAGCCTGGTAGATTGTGTGGAACATATGATGGGTGAGCTTTGTCAGGAGATACTTGACTCTTCCTACTAGCACCAAACATAGTCATACCTGCTGGAAGGCCTGATTTAGGTGGCCCTGTTGTAGCAGTTGCAGGATATGAGCTTGCTGGGCATGGCAGTCAAGGTGAGAAGAGGGGACAGGTGTGCCTGCAGCAGAGCGCATGGCCTGCATGATGCTGGAGGTGACGGCAGCCTGCTGCTCCTTGAGTGCAACACTCACTTCACCCTTAACGATGCGCTGTACCTGTGCTAGAATTGACTCCTGCAGGCTGTAAAGAAAGGAAAATGAGGCAGAACTGGCTAAGAATACTAGCCTGGCTCTTTTCAAACTCACCACCTTGTCCAGAGCCCTGCTCACACACCTGCCCACAGCTACGTGCAACTGGTGCTGCACCTCAGCCCGAACACTGCTAGACACAGTGGCCGCCATCTGCTCTGTGGCACTCTGGAGTGTGCTAACCAGGCCTCGAAGCTGGGCCAGCACAGGTTCCCTGGCCTCCTGTTCCCGTACCTTCCGGCTCTTCATGTGGCTCTCTAGCTGCTGTAAGTCTGAGGGGGTTACCATGGAGAGTGTAAGAAAAGTGATAGTAGAAGAGCATGCCCCTCCTACAGTGGGTCTTAATGACCCTACTCACATTCCTGTGTGCCTAGCCGAAAGCTATCATTAATCTGCTGGAACATGGCCTGACAGCTTTTCTCGAAGGCTGGCAGCACCACACTCTGAAAGGCTTCACGGTAGGCAGCTTGCATTGGCCCCTGCAATGTGTCTGCAGCAGCTCGGGCAATAGCATCTGTCAAGTTCTGGAGTAAAGTGAGGGACCCAGTTGAAAGGCCAACCTGACCTGACAACCCCCTCCCCTCCAATCCTGGGCCCCTATAACACCTTGGACTTGAGCAGCTTAGAGATGTTCTCTTTCATACTGCCCTCCACAGCTGTGAGCTTGGTAGCCACTGAATTGTTTAACTGGTTGGCCACAGGCTCCAAGCTCCTGGAGACACCTGGAAAGGGGAGGGGGAAGGAGAGGGAAGGAGAGGGGAGGAGAGGGGAAGAGAGGGGAAGAGAGGGGAGAGGAGAGGAGGGTGGGCTCAGAAAAGGAAGCTTAACAGGTACCGCTTTCTCCCACCTGTCCCACCCAAAGACTCTATGAAAAACTTACATGGAGGAACCGTCTTCTTGATCTCATCCCGTAAGCTGCGCTCTAGCCGCCCAGCTACAGCTGAAGATAGTGCTTGAGACAGCTGCTGTGTAAGCTGCTCTTGTAACTGTCCACCCCACTGCTGTCCCTCAGCCAGTGCCCGCTCCAGCCGCCTCTCTGCATTTTAGCTAAGGAACAAACCTAAGCATCTCCCATCACCCTTCCTAGTGTGTTCCTTCTAAGAATGCTGTCCCCCTCTGCCATCACCCTCAAGGATACGTTCCTGCTCGTGCCGTGTCTCAAGGGCACGTTCTACATGGCCTGTGACCGTGCTCTGCAGGCTTTCAAGTTGGTTACACAAACGCTGTAGTAGCTCTTCTTGGCTGTGCCGTAGCTCTGCCAGCTCTCTCTGCTGCTGCCAAATTAGTGCTGGCCAGTCCTCAGTGGGCTCTGACACCTGTCAGTAGCACAAACAGTCACATGATGTCTCCTCCATCCATCCCCAGCCAACATATGGGAGTGACCCAGAGTCCCTCCCAACCTCACAGGGTAGGGTCCAAGAGGCACAAAGGTGTTTGATCATTTACCTGGTGCTCTGTGAGCCGGGATCCCACAGCTAAATCCCTGCCATAGGCAAGAGGAACTTCAGGCCATGTCAGGCATCCTAGATACCACCCATCTCCCTGGCCCCAGAAACTCCCCCACATACCCATCATCCTTCTTGTTTTTCCGTTTGAGCTTGGGTGAAGAACGAGGAGATCCCTTGGACTTCCAGTCCTTAGCAGGCACCCGGGGAGTGGGGATTTTGGTTCCAAAGCCTGCTGAGGCAGAAGCAAGGCTGGCCACCTCATCATCATGGTCACTGTGGGAAGGGCAGATGGGATAAATGCATGCCCACTTGTTGACCTTGTCTTGTGAAGGAAATGGTTTAAGGTGATGCCCACCTTTGTTCAGCACTAGTGTCCTGGCTGTCATGCTGTTGCAGCAGATGATAAGGTGGTCGGTGGAAGGCCAAGCTTTTGTGCTTTTCCTGGAGGCCATTCCTGGGGCTGAGGGGACAGGGCAATTCAGCAGTGGATCACTCTTAAGGCCCCCTTCCCACCAACATACTTTTCCCCTCCCAAGTTCCTTACCTCTCTGCCAGGGTGCTACAGGTCTCACGAGTAATGTCAGGTGCTGTAGGCCAGACCTGACTATCAGAGGTTGCAGCCTCCTGGGTCAAGGCTGCCTCCAAGAGGGAGGGGGTACTATGGCGATCCCCATCCCCAGAGCTAACATCCAGGCTAAGCTGAGGGCCAAGCTCAGGCCCTGCCCGGGGCCGTGGAGAAAGCAGATGTAATGCTGAGGCAGCTGAGGCCATACTGTCTGATTCAAGGCCCTCAGGAGCAGATGAACCAAAGCCACGGGACAGGGCCTCAGATGCAATCTCAGGGATGTCCTGGGACAGGGCAGTGGAAGCTGAGGAAATAACATCAGGGGAACGGGTGCGACTGGGGGAGGCCTGAGGGAGCCCCAGAGGCTCTACTTCTTGCAGCTCCAGGGACAGTGCAGAGGCAGCAGTAGATACCTATGGGCCAAAGGTAAAGAGCTTAGATGTTAGGAGGTAGGGCACATAGAATTTAGGCACTGATATTATTTGTACTGAAATGGGAATAGTGCCCAGGAGATGCAGATCAAAAATAAGGGCCAGCCAGATAGCTCAGCAGACAGGGGTTCTATCCCTGGCCTGCTATGCCAGCCCTGCCCCCGGGGCACACTGAGGTGGCCATTGAGACTGGGCATGGTGGCACAAGCCTGTAATCCCAGTGCTTGGGAGGCTGAAAAACAGGAGGATCGCTACAAATAAAATCTGTGTAGTGTGGGGCCGGGGAGATGGCTCAGTAGAATAAAAGCTTGCCCGGCAAGCACAAGGTCCTGAGTTCAATCCCCGGTTCCACCAAAAAAGAAAAAAAAGAAAATCTGTGTAGTGAGACCCCTGTAGACCCTGTACTAACTATATTAAAAAAAAAAAAAAAAAAAAAAAAAATAGGGCCACAGCCCAGGAGAGAAGTTAGGGATGGGGAGGCTGAGGATATGCCTTCCAGGAAACAGGGAAGGCTAACAAGACCTTTAGGAAAACATGGGTAAGCTGAGGCAAAGGGTCAAGAAGGAAAATGCCAGCAACTTTCCCTGCTGCTACCTACCAGCTACCCAGCTCTTCACATCCATTCACACACATACCTGTCCAGACCCCTTAGAAGTCAATTTATCAGCTGGACCTGGGACCAAGCTGGGAAGAAGGCTGCGTGGGCTTCCCTGCAGGCTGCTGCTGCTGCTCATTGTCAGACCTCCATCCATCTGTAGCTTTGGGCTCAAGGTCAGCTCTTCAGGTGGTCTGGTGGTGGGAAAGCTGAGGTGTCAGCAGCCAGAGCTTGGTATTACCTGGCACTAGTCTCCACTATTCCCTAGCTATAACCTTTATCTCACCTGGGCAAGGGGGGGTCCACATTTGAGGTGCTGCTCATGGCAGACACAGCTGTAAGAGAGCTGCTGCTGCTGCTGCTGCTGCTGCTACTATTGCTGCTGTTGCTACTGCTGCTAGGGGATGCAGTGATCTGGGAAGATACAGAGAATGAGCACTGTGGCATATGGTCAGAGGATTCTCAAGTCCCTGTAGGAGCTAGGGATGGGGTGTGTACCTGCTGCAGAGAGGCAGTGGGAGTCATGAAGGCATCAGGGGTCATCAACTTGGGCTTGGTCTCACTGCTAAGGCTCAGGAAATCAGCAGGTGCAGGGAGCTCCACAATTCGTCGGAGGTCAGGCTGGGAGCCATGCGTGGTTGACCCCAGGGCTTCAGAACCCAGTTCAGGCCGAGACTCTCCAAAGGCTGTGGGGAAAGCTGCCACTTTACTTAGATCTCTGACCTTACCCAGTCCAACATGCCTCCCTCTTGCCCATTACTCACCAAAGTCCTCACGGGCAGTGTGAGTAGGGAGTGGAGCCACCACATCAGGGTTCAGCTGTGGCTGGAATCGGATTTGAACATCTTGAAGTGCCCTATAGGAAGAGAAGTGTGAAGCAAGTGTTCAAAGGGGCTAGTGTCAGTAGAGTGGGAGAGGGACACAGAAGAGTGTGCAGGGCCTTCCTAACATACTTAGTATGCACACAGAAGAGTTTGATGAGCACGCCGGCTGCAGACTCCATGGCACCAGTTCCATGGGAACCCTCTGAAAGGACAGCTTGGTTAATTAGGTCTCTGGCCCACTTTGCGCCTAGGTAGCCCCCAACCCCCAGTTTACAGTCTGGACCCTAGGGCATCTTACCAGCCCCCAGGCTGTCATTCTCCTCCTCGGCAGGCAGCACCTCAGTGTGCCTCAGCCTGCAGCGACTCACAACCTGGATCCCAAAGCTTAACACAGGATGAGTGAGCAGGAACTCTGAGATGGAGCTGAAGCAGGCACGGCCTTCTTCCTGGTTCTGCAGCAGCTCCATCACATAGAGGACCTGCACGGGTGGTATATTCCCAGCTGAGTTAAGAGGCTGTGTGGGCGACAGATGTGTTAAATCCTCTAGTTCTTGCCAATGACACTGGCTTTGCCCAGAATTCCCCCTGGAAGCCTACCTTCCGTTGTACATCACTGAGAATGAGGTATTCTGCTGAGAGATCCAAGCAAACCTTGAGGCTGGGGGGGACACTAACTGAGCTGAAGATATCTGGGGAGAAGCTAGGGAACCAAGAAATAAACTAAATGAGACTAAAACTTCAAAGAAGCCATAGTTCAACCCCACCCCCACCGCCTCTCAATCCCCCAGCCTCTGCTGACCGAATGGTCTGCAGGCAGGTCCAAGATACGGTGCACCACATCTTCAGCTCACGATTCTGGTCAGCGCCAGTAATGAGGAACCTCCAGAAAGGGACCCTGCAAAGCAACAAGTAATGCATGGTTGGCTAGACTCCTAGCTAGGAGCCCACTGTCTACCCACTACCCACTGGGCCTGCCCACTCACTCACTCAGGGTCCTGTTTCTTATGGTTGTCACAGAACAGAAGACAAGAAAGGGGCCGTCCATCATGAGGCTTCCACTCATGTAGACACCTACAGGCAGGCAGATGAAAGGCTTGAGAGAATGATCTATATGGTTCCCTTCCTGGGCAGATCTGAGTCTTTCAAGCCTTGCCATACCTTGGCTCATCTTGCCCCTCAATGTAGATCTGCCAGAACTTGACATAGCCATCATGGCTTGCAGTAGCCAGGACAGTTCCATCAGGAGAGAGGGCTCCTTCACTTAGGCACTGGGAAGAACCCAAAGAGCTTTACTACCAGTCTAGAGTGGGGAATGACCCTTTTCCAAATGAAGATGATAGTAAGCTATGCTGACCACGGTGAATTCACACACATCTGTACAATCTGGTTAGGAGTGAGTTCCATGGGTGAGATCATTTTGTGCTCAGAGTACAGATACAGGGAATAGATGAGGGGCACAGGAAGAAAGGGAGGGCAAAGAGGCAATCAGTTGTAGGCCTACCGTGCTATGGCCTTTTACCACAATGAAGCCCTGTTTGACTTGGCTGACATCCACAGGCCAAGTGCTGTGGTTAGAACGGAGCATATCCAGGTCCCAGACCTCAGCCTAGAGGAACAGGGAGGCAAGTGTTAAGCCCAAGCATACAATCTGATTGATCTATTGCTTCTTTTACCATACCCAAACTCCTTACCCGGTCTTCATGCAACAGAGCCACAGTTGGGCTGCTTTCCTCACAGCACTCCTCACTTTCCTCAGCAATGAAGGGGCACCAAATAATCCTTCGGAAGTGGTTTAGTGGTGAGCCTTCTGGCTGCCGGATATGAACTAAGATTTCTTCTCTGAGCAGAATGTTAAGGACTAGGTAGGAGGATGCTAAGGTCTGCCTGGCAGCCCCTGCTCTGCCCACCCTTTTTCAATTTCCATGCCCAGAAATGGATACTGAATTTTGCCATTAACCAGAGCCAAACGCCACACAAACAGGTTGCCTGCCTCATCTAAGCAGGCCAGCTGTGGAGAGTTGAGGTGTGCAAAGGCCAGATCAGCCACACTCCCAGTGAAGCCCTTGAGCAGGATCCGTTCTGAAGTGCTGACACTGATCACTCGCACCATTGCAGAGCCATTATTGGCAGCTGGAACCAGAAGATCAGGGGGCTATGAGTAGGCAGCCAGGCCCAAGGAGAAGTCCTGCCCTTGCCTGCCTCACTGCTACCGCCACAGTCTAAAGCTTGGTTTTCCCACCCTGCTCTCCCCCACCTGGCAAAGAGTGGAGAAGACCAGATAAGATCTTGGTTCTTTTCTTTTAAATGTATTTAGTAGGGTCTACAGAATCTTACTACGTAGATCTGACTTGTAGTGATCCTCCTGTTTTCAGCCTCCCAAGTGCTAGGATTATATGTCTGTGACACCATGCCCAGTCTCAATCACCATCTCAGTGTGCACCAGGGGTGGGGCTGGCACCACTTGTGGTGTTGGGGATCCAGCCACCAGTCCCTGTGCTCTGCCTAAGTCTACTCGGCTATTTGGCCAGCCCAAGATCTCTCTTCTACCTCTAATGTCTGAGTGGACCAATACTAGATCTAAATTTCTGGGCCTTCTAGAATAAAACAATTCTTTCCCCTACTCACCTCGAATAGCATATGCCAAGAAGGAGTTAGATACGGCAATCAGGTTGCCATAGTAGTACTTCTGTTCCCAGTCATACTTGGCAACAGGCTGGATTTTTACCTGAGAACACAGAGTGAGGAAAGTTGAAGAAGTAGAGGACTGAGGTAATTTCCCAGACATTAGGAAATCCCCAACAACCCTAGGGATGGGAAGGGTCACAGATGCAAGCCCAGGAATATGGCAATCTCCTGGGCCAGATTCCCACAAACCTGTCATCCAATCCTGGCTTTCTAAAACTGAAGCCAGCACACTACTTGTGACAGCATGTCCCTCTCACAAACCGGCAGCATGGGAGAGAAAGTAGAGGCTAGATGTGCTCTTATACATTATATAGGCTATGGCATCCTGGTACCTACCTTATTGCTTCCCCGAGCCTTGCTTGAAATGCTGGAGTCACTGCTGGCCACAATCTCTACCTCCTTGGCCAAAATGCCAATGCAAGTGGAGCTGTCATCTCCAGGCAGGCAGCTGGAAAGGGTGCATAAACTTTCTCTCAATGGGAGGAATAGAACAGAAGACATAGCCATCTCATAAACATGTGTAGTACTAAAAGTCCAACAATGTTTGATGCACTGTTCCCCGCTCTGCTTGCTCACCTGTTTAGGACTGACCCTAAGCATCTTCTTCTTTTTTTTTTTTTCCCTAAGTACCTCATTAGGCATCCAGCCAAACATTTGGTTTGTCCTCACCTCTCATCCTAGCAGAAGTTTAATCTGGTTAAAAGTACTTTGCCCCAGGTCATCCAGAGGGAGAAAAGCGGAGGGTACTGCTCCTTACCCTCATCTCATGCCTCTGGCTAGCACATGCCCTAAAGACACCATTACCACTACTGCCATCTTCCAGATACTCACATGACCTGCTTTTCCTGTAGGTTAATTGGTGGCATGGCCCGAAGACCAGACTTGTTCGCTGAGATACCATCACCTGAACAGAGGGGGTCTGGGACCAAGAGCCCATTGAGGTCCCCGTTGTAGGCACTGGATTGCCGCCGACTCTCAGCACTGGAGCCTGGAGATAGACAACCAAGACAAAGTTGTCACCACCAGCCAAGGTTGTTCTGCTTGCCCACAAGTCCCTCTTTCAGGGCTTCCTTTCATACCATGAAATGCTGTAGCAACATTTAACTGAGCATGGTATATCTGTGTGAAGCTTGTTTGTCACTCTTTCCACAAATGCTGATATACATTAAGACCAAACATAAGCACAAAGCTCTTCTACCTGAAAAGGGGTACAAGCCATCAAAGATAATCTGAGGGGGGTGAGCCTACAGCTTTGTGGTAGGCTGCCTGGCTAGCATGCATGAGGGTTTGATTCCAAGCACTGAGGGGGGGGGGGGGAAGGTTCCTCTGAAGCCTTTTAATACTCAGGCCCAGGTCAGCAGAGGAACTCTGTAGTACTTAAACAAGGGCATGGGAAGAGTCAGGAAAACCTTCAAGGAAGAGGCACCATCATAGCCACTGTATTCACAGCACACAAATAAAGAATGGAGGGAAAACAAGGCTGCAAAGGCCTCAGGCATGATGCCAAAACTCTCCCTCTGGGTAATGCCTCTTTCTTTGTTGTTGAGGCACTAGAGATTGAACCAAGGGCCTTGCACAGGCTACACAAGTGCCATACCACTGAGCTAAACTTCCAAACCTCACAAAAGAATTTTAAAGGAGGTGACACTGTCAGTTCCAGTGAGAGAACTGACTGCTCTAAGGCAGCGTACAGAATATTGGAGAATCTGGGTGAGAGTTATCAGGACCTACACCAAAGCAGTAATAGGGCCTGGAGAGAAGAGGGGCTTCTAAGCCATGAAAAGACACAGACAAGATGGAAAAGTAAGAGAAAGAGACCTGCCTCACACAGAAATGGCTCAGAAGAAGCCATGTTGGGCAGGTAAATTCAGGAGAAATGGACCTGAAGAAGCCGGACAAAGAAGAGAGAAACTTAGGCATGGTGGTGCATGCCTGTAATCCTAGTACTCAGCAAGCTGAGGAGGACTGCTGTGAGTTTGAGGCCAGCGTGGATTACATGTTGAGACTCAGTCTCAACATAACATCACATAACATAACATAACATAGAAGGAGGGCGGGAAGGGGAGAGAAGGAGAGGGAGAGAGGGAGGGAGGGAGGGAGGGAGGGAAGGAGAGGGAGAATAAGAGGGAGAGAGGGAAGGAGGGGAAGACAGAGGAGAGAGGGGAAGAGGGAAGGAGAGGGAGGGAGGGGAGGGAGAGAGAGGGAGGGAGAGAGAGAAACTATATAGTGGGGTGTGAAATTAGGGAATATAGCATTTCAGTTGTTCACAATGGCTGAGTTTCAAACATTCTCACTGGTTCTCACACCACTGTCCAAACTTGAAGGTAGCAAGGAGACTAAGACTTTAGGAAAACAGCAAGTTTCCAGTCATAAAACAGTATTTAAAAAAACAAAACAGGGGCTGGTGAGATGGCTCAGTGGTCTAAAGCACCTACTTAGAACAAGCTTAGCAAAGCACAGGGACCACGGTTCAATCCCCCAGCACCACATGCCAGCCAGCCCCGCCCCCTTGTGGGCTGAGCTGGCCACACACACACAACACACACATAAATAAATAAATAAAATTTAAAAAAAATAAAATAACAAAACAAAGCTGGATGTGGTAGCACACACGTATAATCCCAGCACTTGGGAGGCTGAGGCAAGAGTACTGCCGCTCTGGGCTACAAAGTGAGCTCAAGGCTAGCCTGAACTACATGGTGAGAACTTGTCTCAAAAAGACAAAAAAATTAATAAATAATCAGTTTGAGGTCTGATTTGGTTCTTCAGTGTATGGGGATGAATGAAAAAGACCATATGGTAAAAGAGAATCAAGTGCCAATCAATAAAGAAATTTTGGGGGCTGGGGAGATGGCTCAGTGGAATAAACGTTTCCCTGGCAAACGCATGGGCCTGAGTTCAATCCCCAGTTCCGCCAAAAAAAAGAGAAGCTTTTAGACATCAAAACAACATGTAAGGGGCTGGTGAGATGGCTCAGTGGTCTAAAGCACCTACTTAGAACAAGCTTAGCAAAGCACAGGGACCGCGGTTCAATCCCCCAGCACCACATGCCAGCCAGCCCCGCCCCCTGGTGGGCTGAGCTGCCCCACACACACACACACAAATAAATAAAATTAAAAAAAAAAAACTACAAACGAAACAACATGTAAAACCTCTGTCATGAGTAATGCCCAGTATAACATTTAAAACTATCTCGGGGCCGGGGAGATGGCTCAGTGGAATAAGCACTTCCCTGGCAAGCGCAAAGGCCTGAGTTCAATCCCCGGTTCCGCAAAACAAAAAAAAAAAAAGACTAAGAAATTTTGCAGAAAGCCTCTCAGCCACTTCACTAGGATCACAGCCACTTTAGGTGCTCAAGGATGACCTGACAGCAGGCCCAGAGTGTACCTGGTTAACCAGGCTAGGCTCTACCAAATGTCAGGAGTGTAGTTTATTTAGCAGACAATAGGAAAAAGAGGTACATGCCACACTGATGACTTAAGGGGATACACACTCCAGGTGTGGGACAAAGAGTTCATGGTCTCAGTAGATGGATTTTCTCAGAGTATGGGTTAGCTAATTCCACTCAAGAGAGCACCAGTGCCTGCTTCTTACCTACTAGGGCTCAATAGGTAAGAACAAGTTGTAAGGAAACATTAATTCTCAGCTGTAGCCACTGCACACCCACATCAACAAGCAAGTCCTTCAACCACTATAACTTTTCATGAATGTTTTAATCTGCTAGGAAACTCAGTGCTTTCATATGTGCTATTTTCTTTTCATGCTATATGGCTTCTACACAGGTGCCGTGGATGGCTTTCCTGACACATAACTCCTGTCCATATTATAAGACCTAGCGTATACCCACTCCTGTCTATATTGAGATCTAGCCTCAATAGTCTCCTCTGCATTTCCAGCACTCCCCCACAACATCCACCCCCTTATCATAATACCAAAGCAATTCTTTTTTGCAAAGACAATATTATATTGCAACCCTGTTATATCCGTGTCCTGCCAGGAAGAGCAGTTTTGGGGTATCACTAGAAGCACAAGTAAAATCTGAATGGGAACAAATTAGGCTTGGAGATGTTTGAAGATTAATCTAGGGCCTTGAAATCTGTGATTTGCCTTCATCCCAGAAAGAATACGGAATTGTCGAGGGCTGCCTTCCTCCAGAAAAACCATCTCAAAACACCACCAGGCCTGGAGTCTGCTTTCCAGTGGAAAGGGCACGTTGTAGAAGGGTACGGGAGGCTCTTCAGCACAGCCCCAAAACTCTAGGCCCAGAATTGGTAAAAAGAGCCCGCGCCAGGCGTGTGAACCATGGAGAAAGGATAGTGGCGCTGGGCCAGTCTCAAGAACATCAGTCTTTGGGCCACAAAACCGTAAGGGGCTGGCGGATTCAGAGAGCCTCACCTTCAGCCGAGACGCTGAAGGACGAGGCAGAACGGTCTGGCGCCAGAATGGGAGGGGGTCGCACCCAGGGGTCTGCGCCATTCGCGGAGTGTGCTCAGGGATCTGACTCCTACTTGTGTTCGCCCTCACCAGCCCTACCGACAAGAGATCTGCAGGCCCTGAAGGCGGTTCAAACCCACGCCACCCGTCTTCCTCCTTGCCGAGGGCCCACCCCAGCTACACTCGCTCACCCCCCGCGGGCCGGTCCAGCTTGAGGATGTCCCGCAGGTGCTGCGTGGCGTCCTCGATGTCGATGCTAGCGCAGGAGGCCATGAGCTCTGCTGCGGGTGCCTCGCCCACACTGCTTTCCTTCCGCTGCTGCGGCGCTTCCCCCAGCCACACCCAGCCGCGACCCCCCAGAGACCAGGACGCAGGTCACTACACAGTAGCCACAGACTGATAGAAAACTACAGCTTGTACCGCGTCCCTGAGCCCGGCCAACCCCACCAACCGCCTCCACTTCCGGCTCCCATGAGCCTGCACTCCCGGAAACTGCCAAGGCCCGAGAAGAAAGGTTCCGGGCTGGGAGTGAATGACTTTAACTCCTGCCAGTTCCTGCAGGGTCAGGAAAGTTTCATTAGACTGAGGCAGAACAAATGCCCTGTGCTCAAGAATGGGACGCCCAAAACTGTACCTGCCTCAGGTGATCCCACCCAGTTCATATTCATTCTAGGATTCATTCTTGACAGTCTTATAATCTAAATCAACCAAGATGCAGTTCCTCAGTCTGGCAGGAATAAACTGAACTGAGAGTTTATTTCCCCTTTGAGAAATGAATCTGACTTCAGGGGTCCCGGGTATACGCAGGGGAGATGTTCTCACAAATGTCATTGTTCCCCACTGGCCCTCAGCATCCCCTTGTCCCACCACAGGGCCCTCAAGTTAGGAAGAAAGAAACCAGAGTTTACAAACACCTCTTTATTGCAGACATTTCAGGCATAGGTACATGGAGGAAGCTATATTGCAGATTTTTATACAGGGTGGCTTAAGAGGCAGCAGGCATCTACCTCTTCCCCACCCCAAATACAGAGCAGCTTAGGTTATCAGTTCCACTGAAATCTGACTATGCTGTCCTCCCAAACAGCACATCATCCAGCCCTGTGCCCAGTGAAGACAGGCAACCTGTAGGGTCAAAAAACCCCAAACCCTTCCCTCATATTGGAAAACGGAGGGTACAGATTAGCCTGAGCTGAGGTGCCCTCACCAATCCTAAAACCTCCAATTAGCCCAAATCCAAGGTTGGTTCTGGCTTGTAGTTATTTGGCTTTTTACCATCTAGAGGTCTCAGGGTCGAGGGGCTACACCTGCATTGGGCAAGGCTCTGTCTCCAAAACTGAGAAGAAACTGCCCTGGAGTTAAGACTTCCTGGAATTTGAGTGTGGAGTTGTGTGGTGAAAATGGAGGGAGGAATAGAAATGTTCTGCTAAGGCCTGAGGGGTGTGAATTCCTACGGCATGACTCTATTTTTGACTTCTACAGATCCAAATCTTCCATAGCCCAACCTAGCAAAGGATTCCTCTTCAGGAAATCATCCCAAGCAGGTAGTAGAGAATCTAAGCTGCCCTCTGCTTGGCTTGGGGGATGTAGAGTTCCTTGGATATGATCCTGACCCTTCTGGGAATAGACTGGGTTCCCCCATCAGGCTCAAAGAGCCTGAACCTGGTGAGACGTTTGCCAAGACCACTCTAACTGCAACAGAATTCACAGTCATCAGTTACTAGAGCCCTGAACCTACTCCAAGGCAGAGGTTACAAGAGGCATCAGAACTGACTAGAAAGGCTTCAATTCAAGGGAAGCTTCAGACCAAAGCCGAGCTTTCCTTGTCTGCTTTTCCAGGACCAGACAGCCTGAGAACTCTGCCCTATTGGGCTTGAGAGAAGCAAGCTGGTAGTGTGCTTCAGCACTTTTTCTCTTTGCAGTAGATATTGCTGAGTTGGGGCAGAAGTGAAGGGTGAGACATGAAAGAGATAATGGGGCAGGGTATTTATTGATGCCCAGTCAACTGTCAAACTAATTAAAACAATTTAAACTGTTAAGAAAATTTTTGTGGTTTTATTGTATCATGAGGCATTGAAACATCTGAACAAATCAATATTTGGGTGGTGAGGCAGCTGCTTTCTCCTTCACTTCTTTGGGTTACTAGAGCAACTTGTCAGTAGATTAAAAAAAAAAAAAAAAAAAGACAACCTTTTGCATTACTTAAGTCTTTCCAAGGCATGCGCTGGTACAACACAAACTTCTCCTGTCAGATGCAACTAGTCTAGTGCCCAAACATCATGCACAACACTGTGGTGGCAGCAGCGCGCTGCACCCACTTCCACCACGGCCCTGCTTGCTTGTGTATGATATTTGGAGCATCTGGAGGAGTGTGATAGTATCAGGAAGAGGAGGGAGAAGGAAACAGCATGAGTGCCGGCGGGGAGGAGGTCAGCCAAAGTTGTGCAGGGCAAGCCTGAACATGTCATTGGTGCAAACCCAAGCGTCATTGATGTTCTTTAATAGGAACATCTGGTGGAACCCCATGATGGGGTCTTCATCAGCCTGTGAAGAGAAAGAAGATGATTCAGTAAAGGGGAGTCAAGGAATAGGAAAAAATTCGGTGGTAGGGGAATGTGGCAGAGAATGTAGACTTTGGGATCAGGCCCTATTGTCATGGACTCAATCTAATATAACTAAAGGGTATGTGCAAGTGTGAACTGTTAAAAAGTGTGAAACACTGCACTAGGTATGTAGAGGCAGTCTACACTGCCTGTACACTTAAAATAGTACCATGGGCCGGGGAGATGGCTCAGTGGAATAAGCGCTTCCCCTGGCAAGCGCAAGGGCCTGAGTTCAACACCGGGTTCTGCAAAAAAAACAAAACAAAACAAAACAAAAAAACCAGTACCAGTCTGCTATAGCAACAAAGAAGACACACTTGCCTCTGAAACCACATCTCAGCATGCAAGGTCAAAACTCTGAAAGTAGCCTATAATACTTACCATGTAACATACAGTGCTAAAAACATTAAACAATCTTAAATGTTTGATAACACATCAGTATAATTAAAACACACACACACACACACACACACACACACACACACACTGTTGCTAATGCTGACTGCTGCCAATCAGTAAGTAAAGGCTCAAAACTGAGTTCACAATGGGATCACAAATTTATAAGGGAAAACCCAGGCAAAATAAAATCTCTCTCCTCTGAGAAAAGAAAAAGTAAACAAGGATGAGGCCTGCTTAAAGTAGGATCCTAGCTGTCTCCAATGTTAAGATTTTTTCCCCCTGGGAATTAATGTCAGTAGACCCAAATCAGTTATTTGGGGGCTCTAGCCAGGACACAAATACCAGAAAGAATCTAAAAAAAGGAGAAAAGGATCACAGCTTACTAATTCTAATTCAGCCTAGGATAGCTGGCAGAGAGCTCTTTGGAGAGATCTACTCAATCCTAAAGACTACTGGGCAAAGGCTCTGACAGAAGGAGAAAACTAAGAAGTTAAATCCAGGCCAGAAAATAGGTCCTTCTGGGTCCACTGCAGAGGTCTAGGGTGACTATTTCTCTGTGCCCACTTTGAATGGAGAAAGCCCTATCCTAGCTAGCCTAGGAAGAACGCATATGAATTCTCCTGTGATATACCCAGGATGCTGAGACTTGTCCAGAGGGAAGGCAATGTTTTCTACTTTGGAAAGAAAGACAGGCTTTAGGGCTGGAGAAATGACTCATTGGAATAAGTGCTTGCCTGGCAAGTGCAAGATCCTGAGTTTGATCCCTGGTACCACCAAAAAAAAAAAAAAAGACAGGCTTTTTCTAGGTTGTAAAGATGACAGGTCTCGATGACAGGGGAAAAAATGCAAGGAGATGAGAAGTCAGCTGGCAGCATGGACTTCACGAGAGGACTGCCCGTCAGCACCCAGCTAGCCACCTACACTGCAGGACAGTATGGGGGCCCAAATGCATGGCATCATAGCCCAACCCTCCTCCTATACCTCTTACTCCTTTTCCATAAAAGACCTAAACCTGAGTTCTCCATCAGAACTTTCTGTAATCGCAGCTATGTTCTATATCTGTGCTGCCCAAAAAGCATCCACACGCTGGGGATATAGCTTAGCAGCATAAGCGCCTGTCTGGCAAGCACAGGCTCCCGAGTTTGATCCCTGGTAACACACACACACACACACACACACACACACACACACAAAGTATCCACATATGCTAGACCATGAACACTTACAAAGTACACATAGTACAAGGGAAGAATTTAATTTTATTTACTTATTTATTTGTTTGTTTGTTTATTTTTTGCAGAACCAGGGATTGAACTCAGGCCCTTATGTTTACCAGGCAAGTGCTTATTCTACCGAGCCATCTCCCCGGCCCCAAGAATTTAATTTTAGGGCTGGTGAGATGGCTCAGTGGTCTAAGGCACCTACTTAGAACAAGCTTAGCAAATCAGAGGGACCACGGTTCAATCCCCCAGCACCACATGCCAGCCAGCCCTGCCCCCTGGTGGGCTGAGCTGGCCACACACACACACACACACACACACACACAAATGAATAAATAAAAAAAATAAAAAATAAAGAATTTAATTTTAATATTAAATAACAAATTAAAAATTGCAGAGCAGGTGTAGTGTGGTGCTATAGCACCTGGCTAGCATGTACAAAGTTCTGGGTTTAACCCTAGCCAGCAGACAAACAAAAAGCCACAAGTGGCTAATGGCTATTATATTGCAGCATGCAGGTCGAGACAGGATTTAGGGTTTCTCTTGATAAGCAGGTCACATTAGCGGGGAAAACAGAGGCCCAGGGCTCTGCTCTGCTACCCATTCCTCCCCAGCACTATTACCTTGAGCTGGCCCACAACCATACTGATGATGCAGCTATCTGGTGTAGGCTGATGGTCCTGTGCTGTGATGCTGTGCTGAATTTTCTGGAACGGAAGGCTCTGGAAAAGAAGAAGTGGGCAGTGGGCCAAGACCAGAAAAGGTGAGGAAGAACAGCCCCACCCTAGCTCTGGCCCTTACTTACAGACAGCTTCTCCACAATGGCAGCTTTCCCCTGGAACTGCTGTCCCTCCCACGTAAGACATGATGCATCTATCTGAAAAATGCACAGAAAACCCAGGATCAGGCCTCAGCACAAGGAGTGTCTTTAAAGTGCTGAAAAAAAATCCTGAAAAGGGACTTTCTTGGGAAAACAAGTCTTAAGTGCTCTTTCAGGACCTTAGTGACTTCCTTCTCTGTGTCAGGCTTGCTTTAATCAAGAGAGACAATAGTGGCAAGATGTGGTAGTACAAACCTATAATCTCAAAATCCCAACACTTGGGATGTTGAGGCAAGAGCATTGCCAAGAGTTCAACCCCAGCCTCAAATATACAATGAGACTATAAAAAAAAAAAAAGAAAGAAAAAATGAAAGAAAGAAAATGGGTTGGGGAGATAGCTCAGTGGCATAAATGCCTGCCTGGCAAGCACAAGATCCTGAATTTGATCCCTGGTACTAAAAAAAAAAAAAAAAAAAGAGCAAGAGACAATAAATAATCCCATCATGTTGGGAGGGTGAAACAAGACTTCCAAGTGTGAGTAAAAACTTGTCTCAAAACAAAATTGTTATTGGACATGGTGGTGCACACCTATAGTCCCAGTATTCAGGAATCTAAGGCAAAAGGATTACCACACATCAGCCTGAACTACATCGTGAGACCTCTTCCCTCCCCCCCAAAATTTTAATTATTATTTATTAAAGTTATGCATGTATTTATTTATTTATTTACATGGTACAGGATCCCACTACGCAGCTTGGACTCGTGGTGATCCTCCTGTCTCAGCTTCTCCAGCGCTGCACAGGTGTGTGCCACCATACCTGGTTTCAGAGCCCAACAAGGCATGTGGTCCCGGGGATCAAACCCAGGTCCCCGGGCTTGCCAGGCAGGCACTTAGACCGCTGAGCTATGTCCCCAGCTCCCCCCAAAAATTTCAATTATTGAGGGTATAGCCAATGTAAAGGTCCAAGGTTTAATCCTAGGACTAGTAAACAAACAGGGCCAAGGAGGTAGCTTGCTGTTACATTACTTGCCTGGTATGTACGAGGTACTGGCTTCAATCCTCAATACTGAGGTTAGGGGATGGACATGAGGAATATGAAAGGAGTGGAGGGTACATACAGCTCAACAGTAGAGAGAGCACTTGCTTTGTATGCATGATGCCCAACAATAAAAAAAATATACTCATAACAACAATCAAAGAATCACTATGGGTTCAATCTACACAGTGAAACCCTGTACTAAATACATTAAAAAAAAATTTTGAGCACAATGGCATGGGTTGATCCCTGATGTGCTGTGCCTGCCCTGTCCCCAGGGCACGCTGAGATGGAGATTGAGACTGGGAATGGTAGCGCACACCTGTAATCCCAGTGCTTGGGAGGTTGAACACAGGAGAATCACTATAAGTCTGACCTGTGTAGTGAGACCCTGCACACCCTGTAGACTCTGTCATAAATACATTTAAAAAAAATCAAATAATTCTTACATTACATTTGGTCTTTCATTAATAAGATTCTTTTTTTTTTTTTCTAAAATGGCTTTTCCTTTTTTTTCTTTCTTTTCTTTTTTCTTGTAACAGAGATTGAATCCAGGAGCTCACATATACTGGACAAATGATCTATCACTAAGCAGCATTTTCAGTCCCTTAAAAAATTTTAAGATAGGGGGCCAGGGAGATGGCTCATTGGAATAAGCACTTCCCTGGCAAGCGCAAGTACCTGAGTACAATCCCTGGTTCCGCAAAAAAAAAAAAAAAAAAAAAATTTAAGATGGGTCTCATTAAGTTATTCAGACTAGAATTGAACTTGAGATTCTCTAGCCTGAGCCTCCCAAGTGCTGTGGGATTATAAATGTGCACCACCATCCCCAGGTAGTAGAAGATATATTCTAGTAGATGATAAGGTTTGGGGTACATGTAACAGCAGGTCCAGAACTCTCCACTCAGGACCCCTACAAAACTCTATAAAACAACAGAAAGAAATATGTGGACCAAGTACAGTAGTTGGCTCAGGCATCACCCCCTGACCCATGAAAAGAAACTCAGGCAGAAGGGCACAGCCAGTCCAGCAAGGGTAGCCAGATAGCTACACTAGTACATCACCTTTATTTATCCTCCAGGGTCCCATTCTGACTCTAGTGCTAGAGACTTACATAAATTGCGCCTAGTTGGGTTCTGTCATTATCAAATAACTGGTAGTAATGTTGAATGAAGCTGGATCCAATCTGCTCCCAAAGTGGCTTGTCTCCCATTCTGGAGTGTCACCCAGTATCACTGAGACCTGCAAAACCAGGGAGACAGAGAGGAAAGCATTGGTACTGTAGAACAGGAGATGGCAGCTACTCACTCCTACCATTTCCTGACCTCCCTGTTTGGGCTCCTTCACTGAGGTCTGCTGATAGACAGGAAGCCCTGGGGATCTATAGGAGACTACCACCACCACCACCACCACTAAAATTATTTTGTACCACTACTACTACTATTATTTTATACCAGGGATGGAACTCAGGATCTTGCACTTCCCAGGCAGGTACTTCCGTCACTGACCTATCTCTCCGCCCCTCTTTTATCATTATTATTATTTGCAGTACTGGGGATTGAACTTGGGACCTTGCGCTTGCCAGGCACTTATACCACTGAGCTATTTCCCTGGCCTTTTATTATTTTTTAAGTGGAGCTTTCTTTTTTTTTTTTGCGGAACCAGGGATTGAACTCAGGCCCTTGCACTTGCCAGGGAAGCACTTATTCCACTGAGCCATCTCCCCGGCCCAAGTGAAGCTTTCTTTCTTTTTTATTTTTTGAGACAGGGTCTTCTGTGTAGTCCAAGCTAGTCTTGAACTCATGTAGCCCAGGCTGGCCTTGAACTCATGGCAATCATTCTGCCTTAGTCTCCTAAGTGCTAGGATTACAGGCATCCACCACCACAGCTGGCTTGTAGGTGATTCTTCAGAGATTTATCCCTTCCTCTGAAGAGATCTTGGTTCACAAGGCCGAGGAGCACCAGGATAGAAGTTGAGGGTGGAGCCATGACGAAAGAAAATCATAGCGGGGGCCAGGGAGATAGCTTAACAGCATAAGGGCCTGCCTGGCAAGCACAAGGTTCTGTGTTTCATACCCAGTACAAAAGAAAAAAGAAAAAGAAAGGCTGGTGAGATGGCTAAGTGGTCTAAAGCACCTACTTAGAACAAGCTTAGCAAGGCACAGGGACAGCGGTTCAATCCCCCAGCACCACACGCCAGCCAGCCCCGCCCCCTGGTGGGCTGAGCTGACCACACACACACACACACACACACACACACACACACAAATAAACAAAAAATTAAAAAAAAAAAAAGAAAAGAAAAAGAAAATCAGAACAGGCCCTAATGTCTAATAAGGGGAAAGGCCTTGAAGGAAGAATTAAGGACTCACCCCAGCCCCATTTATTATTATTATTATTATTATTATTATTAATTCTCTCAACAACCTGTAAAATCAGTTTGTTGTTATTCTTCCCACTTTGTAGATCAGAAAACTACTGATTTCAGGGCCAGGTCTAAGTGCCTGCCTGGCAAGTGCAGACACCAGAGTTCAATACCTGGTACTGCATGCCTTGCCCACGCTGTGCGGAGCCTGCCACCAAAACCAGGCATGGTGGCACACACCTCTAAACCCAGAACTGGGAAGGCAGAGACAGGAGAATCACTATGAGTCTTGAGCTGTGTAGTAAGACCCTATACCAAATAAATAAGATTAAAAAGAAAGAAAGAAAACTACTGATTTGTACTCTAGCCCTTGGGTTCCCAACACTGTCTCAGGTCTTTAGTGGCAGATGAAGGCTCAGGGCCTCACTTTTTTTGTGTGTGGGGGTGGGGTATTCCTGGAAACTGAACCCAGTGCTTTGTATAAGCTAGACAAGTGTTCTGCCACCAAACTACATCCTCAATCCTCAAGTTCCTACTTCTGATAAAACAATCAATGACTCCCTCAGTCTCTCAAGGGGCAGTTAACATCACTGAGGTTAGGTGATACCTGACTTAGCCCTTTCTGGGACATTTCTTCATTGATGAGGATGACTCTTCTCTATTTCAGAGCTGGGGCCATGAGTTCAGCTGAGGAGTGTGGGGAAGTGAATTGTGTCATTTCTTCACCACATCCTCCACATGAGTACTACCTTAATTGCCACAAGTTATCTGAGAGGCGTTCCCATCTCACCTAGAAACCATGATCCTGAGGACTCAGTGGAAGTCTGAGCCACAGTTGAGAATCACCCTGACTTTGCATCTCCCTGAGGACTCAGTCCTGCATGTTCTGTAGTTGTCTGAATGCAGAGGAACACACACCCTATCCTGACTCTTGAGTCAAAGCAGTGAGGAGGTAGTCTGACTATGGCAGATAACCATCAGCAGATTCACTGTAGGTCACAGCTTAAAAGGACTCTTTTCTCAACCTCTTCAGTAAAATAGGGACCCTAACCCTGGTGATATTAGCTGTGGTTGTACAGCTTCACTAAAAGAACCTGGTAAAGTCATAGCTCAATATGGTGCTAACTCCAGTTCTGTGGCCTAACCCAAGCCAGAGCAGCCCCTTAGGAAAGACAGTGTAGAGAGACAGCCAATCCGCCACAAAGACCAACACTCTGGCGAATGAGTGGCCAGGGAACTAAGCCAGCTTTATTTTAGCTCTCCTAGGAGGTAGTGCACTAAAAATAGCTCACTGCTCAGATGACTAAGAAATATCCAGGAAAGTCTAAAACAAGCAGAGGAGAAAGCATGGATTTGGCCATGAATGTACACTGGAAAACAAGTGTGTCCCAGGTCATACTTTGCCAAGGAACACATCAACAAATGGGATGGATACAGGACCCGTATCTAGTGCACACCTGTAATTTCAGCACTCCAGGAGATTGAGGATGGTTCAAGGCCAACATACCCTACATAGCAAGATCATGTCTCAAAACAACAAAAACCAGAACACCTTCCCTCCCAGAAAAACCTGAATACTGAGGTTTTAGTTTAGAAAAAATTCATATTAATATGTTTGTCTTCAAAGACAAATGGGGCTACACATTCACTACTACTGTATGCAACAACTGATGTCAGAGGACACAAAAACAGATGTGGGAAAGTAAAAGAATTATGTTATGTACACAAAAGAACTCCCCATAATGAATGTAATCACATACTGTAAACATGTACTAATAATAAGCTTTTTATTTATTTATTTTTTTTTTTTTTGGTGGAACTGAGGATTGAACTCAGCCCTTGCACTTGCCAGAGAAGTGCTTATTCCACTGAGCCATCTCCCCCGCCCCAATAATAAGCTTTTTAAAGAAGCCAGATGTGAAGCTGGGTGTGGTGGCTCATGCCTATAATCCCAGCATTCAGAAGGCTGAGGCGGGAGGATTGCTGCAAATTCGAGATGTAAGCCGCAAGATAGCTCTGCGGACTAAGTACCTGCTTAGGCAAGCACAGGGACCAAGGTTCAATCCCCATCACCACATGCTGGGGAGGAGGGGGAGATGGACTGATGGACAGACGGGGAGTACAACCCCATCCCCGGGGCAAGCTGGACTGGTTGCTGAGACAGTGTGGTGGTACATGCCTATAATCCCAGCGCTGGGGAGGGTAAAAACAGGAGGATCACTACCAAGTCCGAGCTGCGTAGTGAGACCCTGTACCAAATACATTAAAAACAAAAACAAAACAAAACAAAACAAAACAAAACAAAACAAAACAAAAAAAACAAAAACAGGTGAGCTGGGGATTTAGCTCTGGGTGCAGCATCTGCCTGCAAGCATTAAATCCCAAGTTTGAGTCCCAGGCATCCGCCTCTCCCCCTGACCCCACCCCTGGAAAAGTCACATGTGATGGACATCTGTAGTTCTAGCACTTAGAAGGCTGAGACAGGAGAATGAGACCGACCAGCCAAGGCTACAAAATGAGTTCAAGGCCAGCCTAAACTGCATAGCTAGACCATGTCTCAAAAAAATAAAAAGGGATCACGTAAGCACCTACCTGGCAAACACAAGGATCCTAGTGCAATTCCCAGCCCTACATGCTGTGCAGTCCCAGCCCTGCATGTGGGCACCAACCATATACACCCCTGTAATCCCAGCACTCAGGAGGTTGAGCCAGGAAGATCGCTGTGAGTTCGAGACCAGCCTGAGGGCTACAAAAAATGATCACAAGGCCAGCCCGAACTGCATAGTGAGACCCTGTCTCAATAAATACATAAAAAGTATACATACAAATAAAATATAAAACAAATGAGAGTAAAAAATTAGGAAGCTGTAGATGAAGGTACAGGAACTAAACTTGGATGCTAATCCAAAGGCAAGTACTGCCCTATAGGATGGTGGAGTGTAGAAAGTGTGAGAATATTTTTTTCCTGTCAGTATTACTCTTCTTTTGGTATTTTAGGGAAGGGTCCACAAGGTGTTCAGGGTCTCACTACTAGATCGGACTCATAGTGATTCTCCTGTTTTCAGCCTCCCAAGTGCTGGGATTACAGGTGCATCACCATGCCCAGTCTTAATTACCATCTCAGGGCACCCCAGGGGTGGGGCTGGCCCCAGTGCCTGCTTGTAGGCACTTTAATCCACTGAGCTATATGTCAGTATTATTCTTAATGACATAGTAACTTTCTCCCCCCTCCCCGCCCCCATACTGTGAATTGAACTCAGGACTTCGAGCTTGCCATGCAGGCACTGCACCACTGAGCTACATCTCCAGCCCCTAATAACTTTCTAATTATTTTTTTGTACAGGGTCTCACTACACAGCTCAGACTCACAGCGATCTTCCTGTTCTCAGCCTCCCCAGCATTGAGACTTCAGGCTTGCGTCACCACATCCAGACTCAAGTCACCAGCTCATCGTGCCTGGGGGTGGGGCTGGCACAGCATGCAGTACCAGGAATCAAACCTGGCCGGCCCCTTAATAACTTTCTAATACAAAAACTACTCTGCTTAGCTTAGGTGGGCATCATGATGCCATCTGTAATACCAGCACTGAGAGACTGAAGCAGGATCACAAGCTTAAACCAAGTCTGGTCATTTTAGTGATTTAGTAATATCTTGTCTCTAAAACCTGTAAAATTTTTTTAAATGCTGGGGATATAGTTCAAAGGCCCTGGGTTCCATGTCCAGTACCACAAGCACAGCTATCTGGCTGAAGCAATAGTGGAGAAATAAAGGGATAGAGAGGCCCACTAGTCAAGTGAAGCAGAGAGGTTTCTGAGGAAAATGACACCTAAGGGGCATCCAGAAAGCACCTTCATATTTACTTGGATAGAAGTTTCCA